TGTGGTCGCTGTGAGTATCCATGACGTCACAATATGTAGGGATATGTGGTAAAGACCTTATAGCAGACTCCAAATCAGGATAAACCATTCCGTGTCTGTTCTTTGTATTTAATTCTTTTACTTTGAAAGTACAAAAATAACAATCGTTTAGATAGTTCTTTGGTTTGCGCCATACCATAAGAACTCCAAAACACAGTTCCTTCATCTTCCCCTTTGAACAGTTATTTAACTGCAACACAAACACTGCACACTGCACACTTTGAGGTGTCCTCGGCTTAGCTTGATCCCCCAGTTTCATTACAAAATAAGCATTATAAACACAAACTATTCAACTACAAATGAGGTTATACTGTGTTTTGCAATCATAAAACGTCATTCACAAACATTTGGGCTATTCACTCAATTTCTGTGCGTGGTTATAGCACAAAAAATATTTAAACAAACGAACTAGTTCTCCGACTCTGCTTGAGATACATTCGAATATCTTAATCAACACTAGTTGATTTAACTTTTGCACAATATCTGCTATTATAAGCATGGAACTATGTAGAGAAGTATTCATTGGTCTATGAATATTTGTGTAACGTACTGTGACGTGCTTCCATCTGTGTTCTGTTTCAAAATCATGCAAAATAAACTGATATAATCAACTGACTACCACAAATAATATGTATTTGCGTTTCTAACTCATTGAAGATAATGTGTATATTTTCAATATATTTTTGATCACAATTACTGAAATTATTAAAAATTGTGAACGACGAAAAGTAAGGGCATTATTGGATTCAGGTGACCAACTTACGCATAAAACAAGTGTCAAAATCAAAAGAGGAAAATCCATGTTGACTTGTGAAATTAATAATAATTATTATTATAGTTATTATTACTAGGGATATATTAATAATTATCGATGTGTTATTTTTTAAGCGAGTGACACAAATGAAATAGGGCGCGCCGCGTCCGCGCCTGTTGCAGAGACCAAGTGAGCGTCCGGTTACCGCCTCCCCTGCTGTTGCTGCTGCTGCTGCTGCTGCCGCCGCCGCCGCCTCCGCTGCCGCCCTCGCTACCGCCGCCGCCGCCGTCGCCCCGCGCCGCCTCCGCCCGGTAGCCCCACTGCCGGCTCCGGGGCGCCGCCGGCTGCCTGCCGCCCACGGACAGCCCTTAGCAACATGCACCTTCTCTCGCGTAGAAGCAGCTTGCAGCCAGCGCCCTCGCGCACCTCGTAGAGGCAGCCGCCTGCCCGCCACCCTCGCCCCGCTTTAGTTGGAAGCTCGATTGTTGAATCGATCTCCAATCGGAATTTACGCAGACCGTTCGCCACATAATAAATTCGAATGTGAAAGATCGATCTTTCAGTTGTCGATTTTTGACAGTTAATGGTTTAGTCACATTTTGATTTTTTGGTGTGAAATTTTCAAAGGGATCGAAATGTAATGATATACTTTCTTATCAAATAAATTAAATTTACGCAATATTTATAATTTGAATGTTACTATATCCCCTTCTTTATATTGGGCATAGAAACTACACATGCATTTTATAATTGAATAAACATTTAAGCTGCAATATTTGAGATCGATGTTTTCATAGGAGGAAGTATAGTTCTTCAAAAACTCACATTTAATATAGTTCTATAGTATCGCTATACCTCTGATCGAAAACATCATTTTTTTTATTAAATGCAGTAGATCGATTCAATCGATTGAAAGGATCGATCTTTCGTATCGCGTCACCCAGTGCTTGTAGAATGGCTCCCAGCTGATGGCGCTGGGGCTGCGCGCGCAGACGGCTCGAGCGCTGCGGGCGGCGTGGGCGGCGGCGCTGGCGCGCTCTGCGCTTCGCCTGTGGGTGGGCGCCCGCCC